TTTCGAATTTCAAAAAATAATACAAATCAAGCTTCTATTTCTAATGTTAATACACACAAACTTAACCTGTCAAACAGTGTTCATTTTGTAAACTTATTGGCCATACAATCAATGAATGCCTTACTAGACAAAGTTATTGTACAACAAGGACAAGCGCCCCAATTCAAAATCGTGAATCAGTTATTAAGCCTAATCCTAATGTAAATTATAAGACAACTGAAGAACTTTTAATATCAATTCCGACCAATCTCAAGAATATGTAAATGATTTTAATAAATTTAATATTATACTGCTAATAATTTAGAACCACTGGATGATTATCATATCACTAATAATCACGACCAGGTTGTAGATTATTATACTGATATTTTAAATTTTAAGGACCTCATTAACAAACCCTTCGTGGAGAAAAACATTTCTTGGTTCACGTACTGTACCATTTGTTTTATCATTGGACTGGCAGTCATGTACCTACTTTATCAGTTTTGGAAACATAGAAAAGCAACAACACCAACATCACAGAACGACCCTCCAAAGAAGTCCCAATTTATCTGAAGTAGGGCACCATTGAAACAGACGAAACACAGAATAGTGAACCTTTTGATTGCGTTACATTTAATTTTTATTATTTTGCCTTTCCATTTAGCCTTTGTTTTATACTTTATTTTAAAATTTTTTTCTTTCAAAAATTGCTGTATAACATCAATTTTTTTGTAAAGGGGGGTTATTATATCAAAATTTATATTGTATATTATTTCATAGTAGATTCATTATGCTTAGTTGCAATTCCTTGAATAGTTATCACTGACCACTAGGAATATATTCAACTAAGTTGCATTTCTTGTAAATCCAACACTTTTGTCGCCTTACGCCTTTTTCTGCAGCATCTATTGTTTTACCTTAGTTTATAAATAGGGGTGACACAAATTTAAGTTTTATAACAAATCAACTATAAGAAACATTACTTATACTTTTCAAGAATAAAATATATTTTTTAAAAAGTCTTTAGTGTAACATGTATATTTAAATTTTATATTATAATGTAACTTCTTTTTTGGCATAATCTATTATCTACTTCAAAGTGAAAAAATACAAAAACGAGAAAAAAAACAAGTGAAACAAAAAAATATTTAGGTGGAGATGTTCGTTAAAAATAGATTTTTATAACATTAACGGTTTATGAGATATCCCGTAATTAAATCTTCGTGGGACAACTTGTATATCTTAAAATACTAAAAGTGTTATCCGAGAATACCGATCAAGGAGAAGCGACAGCTTAGTGTTTTCAGCGTACCGATTTGTAACGCGCATGTGCGAAAATAAGTTCTGTAGTAATAAGATGAAGATTTTTTACACACTTAGGTATTCTAATACAGATATAAAATGTGCCAAAAAAGTTATTAGAAAACTAAGAATTTTATCACATGTATAAATATTAAGTATGATTTAATAATTTTTGACATTTTATTTTTCATATGTAGGTATTGAATCTTCTTTTAAATAAATTTAATAGACAATGAACTGCAGATTTTGTTTATCTTATTTTGAAATTATATTTAAAAAAATATATAATAAAACCGCGTGTTTCAATTAGGATTGGTCAAAGTGGGCGAAATCCCTTTATTATGGCTAAATTGTAAGTTACAATTATGTCAATAAAAAGATGTTTTGCCCATTCATATTTATATTTATTGAATGAATCATACTGGAGTTGATTTCGGAAAAATTGGTACATACTTAAATAAGTACTATTTTTAAAAATTCGTCTATGCCCAGACAGCACACATAGTCCAATAGACGTACATTTTAGATCCATTTGAGGGTCAGGACGTCCATATCCGGGCATCCAGTGTACGTCCGTTTATGCTAATTAAATTGACAGCTGAATATCGATACCCAGAGAACGTCTATTTTTGGACTTAATTTTAAGTTTAGTAGTATTTTGACGTCCAGCGGACGTCCATCTTAGGTCATTATTTATTAAGCCTACCAGATAATTCCCATCTATATACACTTCCTTTTTTTAAATATAATTGGTCATTAAAAATTGACAAATTGAATCTATTGCATTTCATTCTATCAGCGGAAGTTTAAAATCTTATTCCATTATAACTACTAGTAAAAAGTTTTCAAGTGGTTCCTTGGTCAGGCTCGTCTAGCGATTGTAAGCGTAAAACGATAATTGATGTGTCGTGAGTTCGATTCCTGCTCAGGTCAAGCGATCTTTAATTAAAAAAAAATAAATGGTGTATAGCGGTTTGCGAAAATAATAAACAAATTATTAACAATATAAAATAGTGTATGGTGAGTTGCGGTTCTGTGAAAAAAGTGGGGATGTGGTCTCAATGAAAATATAATCCTGGACGTTTTTTGTATGTCCAGTATTCGACGTCCAAATATATTCCAGAATGGGACGTCCTCTGAATGGTCAAAAGTGTGCCATTTTTATACTTCACTGGACGTCCATTGGATGTCGGAAGTCCAGAAAAAAACTCATTTTTGGACGTCTAGACATCCAAAATTATATATCGAATGGACGCCAAATAGACATATTTGTATTGTCTGGGTGATAGCTAGGCCAGGTATTTAATTCTAAATACATAAACCTTAAATAACATCTGGCTTATCTTTGCGAGAAAACGCTTGTTTCTACAGAAATGAGTAATAAACTTGAAAGTCCTTTTGATATAATATAAATCCAGAAATTCTAAAAATATGTAAGTACTTTTTAAACCTAAAAGCTTTGAAAATATATACACATTGCAAATATTTAGTTAAACCTCTCAAACCTAATGTCTATTTAATACCTAAATTTTTTTTGGTACCCTCAATTTTGTTTACCTTATTTTTACTTAAGGAAAAGGTAATTTAATTTAAATATGGGGCTTTTCTTACATTTTTAACAATAAATAAACCAAATATTGAACAAATTTTATAGATAAATTATAAAATAATAAACGTCTTTTACTTTTATAACAAATAATTAATTATTACATAATGAATTATATTTTGGTGCCGAAATTTCACCATTGCTGTTAACTTCAATGTAAGTAAATCACATTACAACATTTGCGCATGCACTATAATAATGATTTCAGATAATTTGCCAAACTATTTCGCTCAGTGTAGAAAATAAGCATGTTTTCTCAGCGTATTAAGTTGTGTACAAGGGGGTTATGATTGACAACCTGTATTATTTTTAACAGGTCTGTTATTTTATAAACACACAGAAATTACAACCTGTTTACAAATAACGTGTCTGTTAAAAATAACATTACTTGTCCATCATAACCCCGATTGATAGGAAACGCAGCGACCGCAGTAACGATGGCGTCATCTATGCGTCTCAGATGTTAACTAAAGGTACACGTCGGTTGTAGACAGACAGTAGACGCGGACAACTTGTAAATATAAATGTCAGTTAGTTATATGTATAGCGTAGAATCCTGAATTTGAATTTTAAATTTTGAGTTTACGATTGTGTTATCCTCTAGATGAACTAAGTGAAATGGTTGTAGCTGTTTTTGTATGAAATTTGAGGACAATAAATATATTTTGTAATATTACAAGTCGTAGAACGTATTGCATTAGTAACACATGCCACATGAATAAATGTAACAACCCCAATGTGGTGTTCATTAATTAACCAAAGTAAGATCTAGTCATGTAAGTTACACAGGTAGTAGCCAACTTTTGTCACAAAGTAGGTACTTATTTACTATTTATTGTTTTAGAGCAAGAAAATGGCTTCAAAACGTTAGAAAGAAGATTTGATATAGCAAGAAAAATATCTGATTTCCCATTATTGAGTTTGCACTCAATACTTTTAAATAAGACACCATTGGCCATTCGTTTGGAAAATAAGAACAAAAATGTTAATGTTACCAATAACGATCAAAAATTAAAACATATTTGTCATGAATAGATTTACAATAATTAATCGATAATAGACTGTAAGTGTAGTATTCTTTTTAATAAATAATTTACCGTAATTACATTGTTTAAATTTATTTACCAGAACGTGAGAGTGCAGTCGATATTTAATTATCAGAGTTTTAAATTTCCCGCTGCAATATTTGTTTGATATCGATGACAGCGCCACATAGTGGGTCAGATGTTAACTGCGTTAAAGCTGGTCGTTATTAAGCATTGGCTTCTTATGAGCGTTTCCTATCTTTATCTCCCTTATCTCTGGTTGTGTATTAATCAAAGTCATGTTGTCAAAAAGGTCCATCCGATATCAAAGGCACCGACAGCTACTGTCGCTTCTCCTTGATCGGTATTCTCCGGTGTTATGAACTCTTTTCATAGATAATTTCTAACACGCCTAGTATACCGGGTGTCTCAGATTTTTTCTCATTAAATATATCACTTAGATGACAGTAAGTTTAAACAAATACGAGGTTTATTTTGAATAAAAAAGTTGTAATTGGCATCAGAGTTTCATCAACCAGTGCTGCAGGGAGGTAATAAGTGAAAACTACAGTCCAGCCGTACCAACCTCAGGCTGATGTTCAATTATAGGGTTAAATCCCTTACACATGAGAAGTGTTTGAAGGATCCGGAAACTTAGGTGTAATGTCCAGTCCCTTTCTATGTGAGTACATAGATGTTTATGTGGAAAGAAATTTATGGGAGTGATGCTGCTGCAAAAATGCAAATTGTTAAAAAGCATTAATTTTTTTAATTTGATTTTTTTTAGAATTATTTATTTTTTAGAATTTTTTAATTTTATTATATTTTGAGAATCGTGTTTATTTTAAGAATTTTTTGTTTTTTTTTTTAAATAGTTTTTATCTTATCTATTCATGCATCAAGGACGTACTTGTCTACGCGGTACATCGTAGTCAAGAGATCAGAGCGAAGCCAGAACATGTTTTAAAAAAAGGTCACGGGTTGCGATGCAACCCACTATGGCTCCAAGCAGTATATTTCAGGGCATACAGAGTAACTGAGATATTAGAGTGAAGCCAGAGGAAGTTTAAAAAAAAAGTTAGCTCCAGGCATTACTTAGCAAGTTATTTAATTTTTAATTTTTCTAATAAGTATGTACAATATTTTTTTAGCTGCATGTTTTAAAATATTTTGGTTGAGATTTTAATTTTTTTATTTTATATACGATTATTACAGTGCTGAAGCTTTTTAAAACAAACAAAAAATATATGATTTTTGATATCTTCAATTTTTTTATAAACTCACAAATTATAGAATATAATTAATCCTGAAACTTATTTAATTAACAACTTGGCAACGTTGTTATGTTCAAAATAATCTGTCATATAAAGCCATATGTTTTGTAAATATAACCTGTAAAAATGAATTTTCAATTAATTTTTCTCGAAAAATACTGGTTTTTCTGTAACTTTTTTTTACGAAAATTTAATATAGAAACTAGTTTAATTTTTTTTGCGATTTCGCACCACCGGATTCCGTGACAGACCCTCTAAATCCAGCAATTTGTCACACTCGCCTTATTTTTACCGACGTTAAATAAATTAGATATAACAACATATTTATACAGTGCGATGCTGCAAAGATAAATAAACCTGAGATATATACTGGGAAAATAATCTGGGACACCCTTACAGTAAAATATGTATATCCTTTAAAACATTTAAATTTGAACTTATTTCATTGTAATACCACTTTCATTATCATTTGGACATAGATTAGAATCATTTATATCAGACACGATTTTAGCTTTATGAAGCAGCATGAAATCATATTGACCATTTTTAGTTAATTTTTCTGGTCCATGAATAGCGTGGTCCTTGATAAACTTCACAGCCAGATCTATTGCTACTCTGGACATTTCTAGTCGGTGGCCCCAAGAAATTAGAACCAGAGGCTGAAACACAAAAAAAAACGTGTCAATCGATTTACAATTATTTATTTTGTAAAGAAAGTCACATCGACAATAATTAATAATTTATGCAACAAGCTTATAGAGTGATACTACCCAAGAATGAAAAAAGACAATTTATATATCGACTCCTGTAACGAAGACTGTAGTAACTTAATTTTTGGTGTAACTGAGTATTCCAAACCATTAGAGGTGTATTTTCATAGGAAATTGTAGTATCTGTTAAAACGATATTAGGTAACCAGAGATACAATTTCTATTTATTGTATATTGAATTATATATAAGAATTACCACGGAAACAATACTATATTAAATGACTACAATGTTCGTTGCAAAATATCTAGTTTTAGTTAAAAAAATAACAAAAATTAATATTTATTAAGTATATATAAATATTGTTTTAGGAAATTTTGTACTAGAGCTAAAGTATTAAGGGGGGCTAGTTTTCCCCTTTATAAATAAACCAGAATAATTAGGAAACATGAACAAATATATCAACATAAATCTGCTTCTATCTGGATTCATGCTGGCTGAGGTGGCTGTATACAAACAAGAAGCTCAGTAAATATTTGAAAAAGCGTGATTTTATTCGGAAAGTGACATTCAAAAAAATCAAAGCGACATGTTCCGGTCAAAACCACGTCAAAACAAATGGAATTTTATTGTGTTTTAAGTTATTATATTAGGCATTCCAACGACCTGTCAAACAATACCTGCCAGTGGGAAGGTCTCGTATATCTAAGGGGGTAGCGACATAGTCTTGCATCTTGGACGCTATTTTTATTCGAAATATCAGTCGTCAATCCTGCCAGTTTTTTAAAAAATGTACAAGCAGTTTTTTTAATTAATATTTTTATAGTGTTCGATATAAAATATTTAAATGTAATCCATTATTCATGATTTTACGTATTGTAGATAGAATACATCGTATGTCGCAACCGTCAGATCTACCAAACCTGCCCACTGGCAATTCATTTGTTTGGAATGCCTAATTGGATATTGGCAGTTGCCACTTTGCATTTGAAATATAACCATTATAACTAACTGAATAATGTCAGTAGTGATTTTGAATTTATCATTTTTCATCGAGTTATTAGTTATTTATCCAAAAGTGGCGCAGGGAAACAGTAACAAAGCCTGTCTGTAGGGGTGCAGGAATACTAGAGTACTAGCACTCCTGCACTATGGAGTATTAGACTAACTAGTACAATTCATAACCAACATAGAACACAAGGCTAATGATCTAAGTTGTCGAGGCCAAAGATACCAATGATTTGTTTGCTAAAAAAGTTACGCAAGGCGAGGTGTTGCCTTCCGCCGACAGAAATGTAGCGAGAAATCGCTTCAATACTATGGACATAGTTCCAAGAGATATTTATAATAATAATACTCTCTCTAATTCACCCCCTTACGAGTGAATTTTAACCCCAAAAGCTGAGCTTGTGCGGGGAAAGGGACAGCTATTATTATTATTTGCCGTGGCGCTCCGGGGCGACTTAAAGATGATTGATGGTGTCATTTGACTTACAGGTGAGGAAAACCCGGAAAACCTCACCCACCATCATCGAGACGGTAATGTATGGCGATTTTTTTATAATATGCATGTCATATCAACAGAAATTGAATTTCTATTAATACGGCACACATCAAATCCTATACCGAACCATGCAATTTAATTAAAAATCCACATGGTCTGGTCTGGGATTCGAAGCCCAGCAGTCTCTGACACATAAACTTGCTTATAAATGAATATAAGCGCGTTAGACCGCTACACCACCGGCCCGATGTAAGACATCACTGCAAAGCGTGAACATAGTTCCACTGCTAGTGGCTACAGCCCTGAAACCTATAAAAGTCACTTACCCTATTTGGTTCCAACAAATTATAAGGTGTTATAATATGTTTATATAGGCAATTTTTAACAATTTTCTTAAGTAAATTGACTTCGTTTCTATCGGCACAAGGATGGTACAGCATAACAATAGCTCCATGTTCCAAATTATGGAGCCACCTTTGCTTTGGGAGGAATTTATATTCTCCAAATACTCCCCATAATGGTCGATGTGTACCACTATAAAAATAGCAAAACATGTAATAAATTTATGTTTTTTAGATGAGTGAACACATTTAATTTTGCCATTCTTCACAAAACTATAGAACCAATACCTATTTAAAATAGTTTAAAAGTACAATGCAAATATTAAAAGTTAGTTAAGTTAAAATTAATACTTGACACAAATTACAAAAATAACAAAAGATATTAATATAATGCAATACATCGTATGAATAAATATAACGTTTAGCTATTAGAACATTAGTAAGAGAATCTGATCTGTGCTATTAAAAATTTACAAATAACTTGAGAAACAATGTTTTTTATACCTGGTATTAGTATCATTCAAAAGAGCATTCAAAATAGATTCTGAACCAGTCTTTAACTTATTTCGTCAAAAAATTCTAATACGTGATATTGCAATGAAGGTAGTGAGGGGTGAAGACAAATTTAATTTGCCATTCGTCACAAAACAATAGAAACAATACTAGACAAATATTAAAAGTTAGATAAATTAAAATTATTACTCGATACATAAATAAAATATAGAGAATAAAATCGTCTCCTACAAGAAAATTATTTATTTTGTGTTTTAATAATTTTGTCTCTTATAAGTTATAGGTATATCTTTTCTAAATAACTTGTTCTATATTAGTATAGTCGAAGTAGGGTTTAAGGTGGAACTAATTCCCACAAAGACGAGGTTTGAATTTTTGAGCTCATTACTCATATCCTTTCAACATACTAAAAGTCTAGAAAAATGTAAGTGTGCGAAATGAGTTTTTTGGCCGCCATCTTGAATTTTTTTTTCAAAATTCATGAAAAATCGTGTGCGGTATCAAATAACGGGAAATTTTATGCTGAAAAAGAACACATTATGGATTAAAAAGAATAAAAATGAATAACAAAATAGTATGGAAAAAACTAAGTCTATACCACACTGAAGTTTATATGTTCGGAAGCAAAAAAACTCAACATACCCTTACCAGTTGTAACATTTGATCAGTGCCTGTGGATTAAGGCTATGAAAGTTGCTTGCAGTAAATCCGAAGAATTCCCAAACATTTTAATTCGTCTGGGTGGCTTCCATACACTGATGTCCTATTTAGATACAATTGGTGAACTTTTATGTGGATCTGGAATCGAAGAGATCTTGAAGACCATTTACGCAGAAAACACAGTCTCACATATGCTTACAGGTAAAGCTTATTCAAGAGGTGTCGAGGACACATACTGCTTTCATCTGTACTTACATCAATGTTGCTTCAGAATATCCTCGACAGTAACTTACAACTTCCGGCAGAACTGTCAAGTGAGGGACAGGTGGAATCAATATATGGATACAGGTGAAATACATTTAAGTTTACACAGTCTCGGGGAACTTAACAATAAGCTATATAGTAGAGAGATTACAGTCTCTGAAGTAAGTTCCTCTACCGAACTACTACAGTTGTATTCTGAATTGCTAGAAAAGAAGAACTCTTTGAAGGCCCAAAGTAGAACAGCCAAACTGTGGATCATGTATTTAGATATAGTTGACATTGCCAAGGCATTTATTTGGGCTGAACGAACAGGAAACTTAGAAATGCATTTGCATGAATTTAAAAAAAAATGGCGGCCAAAAAACGCATTTCGCACACTCACATTTTTCTAGACTTTTAGTATGTTGAAAGGATATGAGTAATGAGCTCAAAAAATCAAACCCCGTCTTTGTGGGAATTAGTTCCACCTTTGGCCAATTTTTTGTGTAAATCTACTATACTATATGTTTTTATAACCTCTAACCCTAATAAGTGTAACTATTATCAATTGAATTGTTTTTATTTTGAAATATTCAGCTGTAGTTCATTTGAATCACTTTCGTAAGAAGCAGCTTATTCTACCTACAAGATTATCATTTTTTTTTGTAGATAATGTTACAGTTAAGAAATTATGATTATTCATATAAATAAATAATAAAAATGTACCCCCCTGACGACCATAACTTAAGAATATACATCAGCAATAGCTACAATCTCCATATAATTCAATTTTGTGTAACAATAAATTATTTTTTGATTAACAACAAATGAAAAAATCTTTAATTTATTTTTACAATAACATTACTTATCATAAAAATTTCAATGGCAAATTAAAATCCACAACAGAAATTTTATATCTAAAATAAAACGCATTGCATTGTCATTGTTAATTATATTTGACTGAATGGTAGCCAAATGACTGAAGTGTGATTAAAAATACTGTATTTGAAAATAGCTAATTAGAATCATAATTTCAGAACATTTAATATTATATAAACTATTCTGATATTTCTTTTGAAAATCCATTTGTAAACCTGATATGCAAAATCAAATTAATAACCTCTACCTTTTTTAACAGAATAGTTGTTATTGATTAAACCTAAGCTTTTTTAAATTTATTTCATTTAGTTTAAGTTGCTATTTTTATTAGAATAGGGCTTCTTCTTCAGCACCTATTTGTACAGAAGGAGACAAGAGATTTTTTTAGACATCTAAGGATAATTAGGTCTTTTTTTTATCCAATTCAGTTTCTATCACTAACCAAGGAATTTTACAGATTGAACTAATCAGAAAAAATTATTTTATTTAGGAAAATAATACCTAGTAAAATTTTAAAACATAGCGCATTTTAAGATATAATTACTCAATTAAATAGTATTAATTTAAAATTAACTTACAATGTTGGTATAATTTCATTGTATTCAATTGTTTCGTTCATACAAGCATGAGGTGCCTAAAAAAAATGGTAAAATATTTTTAACAAAGAAGCAGGGATATAGTATTGTATGATATTACATAGTTTTATTAGTTTTATTGAACTAATAATAATACTTACATTATAATGCGGAGGTATTCGTTCAATTGTATGTAGAGGATGAATATAACTATTTGGTAAATAGAGTTTTCTGTTGTCTAGACAAGTATAATTCTCTGGTTGTTTAAACCAATCCTGTATTAAACCTTTCTAAAAATAAAAAATAAATATCTATTACCTATATGCTGACATAAATTCAATTATAAATGGTAAACAAAATGGGTTTACAAAAAATACAATCGAAACAAATTTATTCATAACATTAAATCTGCTATGTAGACTCCATTTACACTGAATTCACTAATGCTACTGAAGATATATAATTTAATTCTATTCAATCAGTTAGCTGAAGTAGTTGTTCATGGCAACCAAATTGTCATAGGTAGGTAGCATTCAGAACTGGAGAGGATTCTAATAGACACAATTATAGTTGATAGTAGACACTATTAGATTCGGAAGCATACTTAATACCATGGTATGATACTGACAATGATTCGTATTCGTGATCCAAAAAAATAGATATGAATCATTTAATTCGAATCCTTTTTTTTTGTAAAAAGGATTCGGACATAGGATTCGTGATTCGAATCACATTTCGAGATTCGGATTCGTGATTCGAATCTATTTTTTAAGGATTCGTCCCAGCTCTGGTAGCATTAGCTTTTTTCTTTGATAACATCTAGGGTACTAACACTTAAAACCACCTTCATTCATTATTTACATTGATTTATCTAAGGCGTTTGATTGTGTCAATCATGAAATTTTATTAAAAAAGTTGGAAATATATGGGTTTAGAGGTATAGCATTGAAATGGATAGAGTCATATCTAACTGGCAGATATCAGAGAGTATTAGTGAAAAAACAAGCTTCCAGCAAAACACATATTAAATGTTGTGTTCCCCAAGGGTGCGTCTTAGGGCCCTTGCTTTTTCTTATTTATTTTAACGACTTAACAAATATTAATATAAGGGGATTTTTTACATTATTTGCTGATGATATAACAATTTTGTGGGAATCAAGTGACGAACAGGAATTAACAGCTATAATTAATTCAGATATAACTGAGGTGAAAAGTTGGTGTGATGCTAATTATTTAACATTTAATATCAATAAAACCAGTATAATGACTTATAAATGTAAATTAAATAATGTGTTCCTAGGTAACTTAACGATTAAAAATAATGCAGACCAAGTTTCTGGGCATCTACATAGAATCCAATCTTAAATTTGAACGTCATATAAACTACTTAACTAAAAAGTTATCATCAGGATGTTCCGCCATTAGATCTGTGGCACACAATTTGAATTTTGCTGTGGCAAGGAATGTTTATTTCTCTCTTGTGGAATCGCACCTACGTTATGGAATATGTTTTTGGGGCTCAGCGTCACAGGAATTGCTTAATAAGATATTTATTCTTCAAAAGAGGGCAATAAGAAACATGTGCAAAGTTTCTGCTACTACATCGTGCAGGCCACTTTCCTTACAATATAAAATCTTAACCGTATAGAATTTGTATATACTGGAAATGGCCTGCTTGATTTTCAGAAAATATAAGAATTATATTCGTGAAGCTTCTGTGCATGGCACTAGATTGACTTTTTTCCTGCTTCTCCCAATACCATCATCTGCTCTTATACAAAAATCAATTATTTATAATGGTAAAAAAATATTTAACCACTTGCCTATGGAAATAAGACAGATAGGTATTGAGAAGAATTTTAGGAGGCAACTTAAACGTTTTCTGTCTGTGAAGGCTTATTACACGCTGGCGGAATTTTTTAATGGCTCATACGAGTATAAATTTTTTTCTTTTCTTATTTTGTTTTCTAATCATTTATTTTTATTTTAAACTGTTTCAAACTTTACCAAAGGCTTTGTAAGGTTTTTAACTGGCTGATGACAAATATCTTTTAACTTTTTTGACTTTTTAAATGTACGTTAGGTTTATATTGTTTGTTTTTTTCTTCTTGGTTTTGAATGTATTATTTCTTTTTATATGCACAACTCGATTTTAAAAATTTAAAAAAATTTTTGAAATTTTTTTTTTTTAATTTTTAAAATTCTTATATCTTATATATATTTTTTGTATCTTTTGTATTTGTTTTCTTTTTTACCAGCTTTGTCAATTAATTTTTTTACTTCAGACAATAAACCACTTTTTGATTGATTGATTGAGGACATGATAAATTGTTTTCTGCATCCATAATTTCTAATGTAGGCTGATCAAATAAAAATGTTTCATAAAATTACTGAAGCTTATGAAAAATTTACACATTCAAGAAGATCTTGATATATTTAACTCTTATTGATAAATAAAAACTATCATATACCGAAAAAATACCATTCCACAACCTTCATAAGAAATAAAAACAGTTAATTTAACTAATTTCTCGACAAAACATTAATCTCAAGAACATGTAATTGAATTTAAGTCTCAGAATTTATTTAAATAGATCTTATTTGATTCTCACATCAAGTATATTTTTAAAAAAGCCAACAAAGCTCTTGGTTCTTTAATAGCGTTTACTATTGGCATTCACCGAGTTCATCTATGCACTGAACCGGTGTGATCCCGGTTCATTAAAAAATTGCACAAAGTACAACGTCAATGGAACAACCACATACACCTACTAGAAATGTCATGTGTCAATATTGTCAGTCATAAATTTATCTTTAACCTTCAACGGTCATTTCAAATCTCTCCGCAGATCCCGCAATGAGTTTTTGTTTCCTGCAAACCTTGAACTAACTGTTATTTTGTTTAACAAAAGAAATTAAACAATTAATTCTGATACCACAAAAATGATAGCACATGTGCTTCAGCACTTATTTGCCTTCTACCTCCATGGTTATGGTTTTTCAGAAAATAGTTCTACCGTTGTATGAAGATAATATAGTAGGATAATGCAACAGTAAAAAGTGTTGGATGCAATCTCGAGCGGCATCTAGTGACGATTTAATGAAGTAGTCAATTTTTAATGCTATGCAGATACGCCATCTACGTCTTCTTTTCGTTCAGGCACATGGCCTCTATCACCTACCTATTATAGTTAAAAACATCTTTATTTATTTAAAAATAACAATTTATGATAAAAGACATGAAAAATTAAACATAATAATGAAAATTTATTCCAGTTGACAAAACCGTACGAATAAAATTTTTGGATTAAGGTGATAAAAAGTGGTTAAGGACTTTGGTCAATATTTTGGTTATGTGCGGTTATGTCAAAATATATAAACAATAACAAAGAATACCTAATAACAACTTATAACAATGTCCAATGTTTTAAATAAATTGAAAAGTTCCAAGCAGAAAACAAAAAAGGAATAAGCTTCTGAAAATGTTGCATGTAATCTAAGTACCTCTAATTGGACTAAGTGTTGGAAAAGTTTATAACCATAAAAATAGCTGAATATTTTTATAGTTTTCAAAATTTGAACAAGCTTTGCTACAAAATTTCATCAAAGCTATCAACAGTTTGCAAGATATTGAGTTAAGGAACAAGATAATCATACTAATCAGGGAAAAATCAATCAACACTGGAAAACAAATTAAAAAAAATAGTCACAGGGATATATTAGCGACTTTCAAATGTATCTTGGCTGTTGATCATGAATATAAGAAAAAAATGTTCTCTCGGCTGGCTCTGAGTGTTGAAATAAATCACCTTGAAAGGAAGTTTTCAATAGCTCCACTCTTTAGGAATAGCTCAAGACGAAATCAATAGACCTACAAGTGGTCTATCTGTGGCAGACATATTCAGTTAGTCTTTATATTTCATTATGCAATGTTACAAGGTTCAGCAACTTGCCAAAATGGTTAAAATTTATTTCCAAAATCAGTGCTCTTATTTAGTACAGAATTCTATGAACGACACAATAATTATAAAGTCCTAACTTTGAACATAAAAGAAAATCTTATAAAAAACTTTTTTATATAATTTATCACTGTTTGGAAAAGTATATTTGTTTGTAAAATATTTGTATTTACAGTTATATTTAATCCAGGTTAAGTGTCAGTGCGCGAGTATAATGTTAAGTATGAACAAAATCCGCCCATTCTGTTTATATGTTTGGTTACCGACCCTAGTAGATAGGCTATTTGTTATTACTTTTAATTTAGATTTTGGATTAACGTTTTTGTATATGACTTGGCTGTTTAGTAATAAATGAAGTCAAAACTGTAACACGTGGTTTTATTCTGGAAAGTATTTTTAAATTGAATCACACGCACGCCGTTCGAGTGAAAATGTTTTAAGTAGTTCAAAACAACAATCATTCTTTTTCATTGTTTATAGAATACAGCCTTTCAGTTAGCTCAGACAAAACTGATTAAATAAATAAATTAATGTCTTATTATTTTTTGAATTTTTTTTATTTTGACTGGTTGACTATCTCAAAAATTAAAGCCAATCAAGCAAAACGTGAGTCACATTTCGCTTTTTTAGAAATCAATAATGCAAGTGAAAATTAATGATTCCACAGAAATAGCAAATTAAAGAAAATGTAATATAAAACTTACAACTAAGACGTTAAAGAAAAGTTTGGAAATAATCGATGGGGACTGCGAGATAGCAAATTTATTTTAGTTTTAGACAGAACTACTTTATTTTATTCGTTTTGAAACAATTGAAGATTTATAGGCCAGAAAAGCGATTTTAAACTGAATATTCAGTCCAATAGGCTGTCGACTGAAATCCTTTCCATTTTTAGAATATTATCTTTCAAATTCAACAATTTTATGTTTTGTTCCAACACGGATTTTAATAATAGATTTATAAATTGTTTTTGTTTATTTGAATGTTAAAAGTTCTTAAAACTAACTTTAACATATATTTCCCATGCTGGCGCTTAGTGTTAAAATAATGAGACGATTAAACGAAAAAGGCTTACAAGAGCCAGTTGCCCTCTTTTGGTACACATTTGTACAAGGCAACTTTACAAATGTTTCCTCCTTTTTTCTCTTGTAGAAGATGGACACGCAGTGGAGCGCACAATGATGGTATTTTAAAAAGCCACGTCACATATTTGATTAGATAATTAACTTGATGTAAGTGCCTTCAAGACTTAAGTCGTTAAGCATTCAAGTTTGGATTTCCCAACCCAGATTCATTTACATATAAAAACATTCTTTCTTATTTTGGAAAAA